GAAGGCTCCATGTGGCTTCAGTTTTCTGTATTCCAACGCTAGTCCTTTTTTATCCATCCTTTCACTGTCTTCACCCTGGGAACATTAAGAGCTGCACAAGATGGGGCACTCAGCATGGAGAAAAAAGTAACCAAGACAGGGCTGCTGTCAACACTAACCTGGATGGACTTGTATATTCAATTAGCACACATGTGACCTGGGCATACAGCAGTGAGACTACTTGGCAACAACTTTGCCCTTGGGAATTTAGGTTCTGCTATGGAGAGATCATAGATGGATAGGTAGACAAATACAGGATAGAAATACAGTGTACAGATAGACAAATAATCCATAGGTAAGTGTAGATACATAGCATCATAAATGACAGGGGATGGATATAGCTAGATACATAATACATACATAAATAAATATATACATAGATTACAGACCAATGATAATGAGATTCCAGAGATAGATAAATAACGTAGACTAAAAATTAAAACTGTAATTGGCTCAATAGATTCAGAAAATCACAACTATTGGGCTGGCCAGATAGCTCAGCAGACCAAAGTGCCTGCTTAGGCAGAGCACAGGGGCAGGGGTTCAATCCCCAGCATCACAAGACCACAAGCCATTTTGGCCCTGCCCCCTGGGTGCACTGAGACAGCAATTGAGACTGGGTGTGGTGGCTCATACCTATAATCCCAGCGCTTGGGAGGCTGAAAACAGGAGGATCAAAAAAAAAAAAAAAGGGCTGGGGAGATGGAGAAATAGCTCAGTAGAATAAGCACTTGTCTGTCAAGTGCAAGGTCCTGAGTTCAATCCCCAGTACCGCAAAAAAACAAAAAAACAAAAAAAACAAACAAAAAACAGGAGGATCACTGAGTCTGATCTATGTAGTGAGACCCTGTAGACTCTGTACTAAATACATAAAAAGAAAAATTGCACCTATTTCTGATATTTGGGTACCATCCCTGAGCAAACTAGGAACATCAAGGAGCACCTCAGCCTGATCAAGGGCCTCTCTGAAAGCCTCATGTTGGCACTGTCCTGAAATGCTGTTTTTGCCCGAACATCAAGACAAATTAGGGGCTGGGGAGATGGCTCAGTAGGATAAGCGCTTGAATGACAAACGCAAGGATCAGAGTTCAATCCCTGGTTCCGCCAAAAAAAAAAAAAAAAAAAAAAAGACAAATTAAGGGCCAGGAAAACAGCTCAGTGGAATTTGCTGTGACAGGAATCAGGTTGTCCCTGTGATTCCCAGCCACACTGGGTGCATCAGACAACAGAGGGCTGCAAAGATCAGCCTCTGGTGAGGGAGGACAAGGTCCCTTTCAAGACACTGTGCTCCATGTGTCCACAAGGTGGCAGTGTTGGCCCAGAAGCAGGCAGCCACTGGACCGGTCCTCACCAGTTGCTCCTGGGACCAAGGGAGACCTTTTGCTAGGACAGGTGAACATTCTAATGCCCTAACTACAACAGGAGCCCAGGGGCCAGAATCACAGGCAACTCAACCACACATCTACAGACTGTAGCTAGATCCCCCGATCCAAGACTCCACAGGACCGGGGCGTTATCACCAAATTCCATTTTCTTACAGTTCTAAGACCCCATTTCTGGCTCCTACTTGGGGAATCCTAAGGTTCTGAGACTGGAGGCCTCTACTCAGTCATTTTCTCTGAGTCCTGTGGCTCAGTGATTTCTGTGACTTCAGAAGGTCTCCACAAGCCACGTGAGGAGGCCTTGCATCGTAGACCCCAGCTTTGTCCATTTTCAGTACAGAGGTCCATCACCCCCAGTGCCAGATAGAGCAGGCTCCGGTCCACAGCACTGGGAACAAGAAGAATAGACTCTCTCCCATCAGTGGAGAGAAAAGGGCTGGGGCTAGAAGCTGGCATCCACTGAGGAAGACAGGCCTGATGGAGACCACGCATGACCACCAGATGGCCAGAGTCCACGTCAGAGCCTAAGAGCCACCCACCTGGATCCCACTGTGACTCAGCGTGTGTGGGAAGGGACACCACACTGTGAGCCTTTGTTGCAGCCTCAGCAACACAGAGGCACAGACCAGGCAGGGGAGGAGAGAGGGCAGTGGGGAGGTACAGGAGGGATCAGTGGAACAGAGGCCAAGCCCGCCTCCTTCCCCTCATTCTGTCATTGCACCTGGAACACGAGATTGTGTCCCTGTGGTGTGCTATGGTTGAGGTGTATGTAAGTGTCCCTCGAGCTGCAGCAAGAGCCCCCCCCCCATGAGCAGGAAGAAAAGGTTCTGGGGTTAGATAAGGTCATGGGGAGTGCCATGACCTAACACCAGATCAGGAGAAGAGAGATCAGAAAGGAACAAAGTGTATACACAAGCATACACATCCCCAGCATGCTTGCTGTCCCTACCTGGGAAGCAGGAAGCCTTGGAGGCAGCCCCTTGACCTGGGCCGTGAGCAAAATCCACTCTCAGGACCCCACACCCAGGGAGCCTGTCTGGCTCTGGGGATAGAGATGTCCTGCCAGCTAGCTCAGAAGCCACCCCAGAGGTAGGGCTCACCACAACCTTGGTCATCCTAAACACCTTTGCACCTCTGACCTGCATGTGGAAGCATGGCTGTGGTGAGCTGCAGCTCAGAGACAGAGTCTAGGGCTCCAGAGTTGTGGGACAGCCACCAACCTGTGGCCAGGGCAGGGTAGGGCAGGGCACGCCAGGGTGCCAGGCCCCAACCCTCCCCACAGCATGAGGTCTGGTTCCTTTCTGCCTGCCTTGCCCCATCCAGGTCCAGAGAACAGAAAACACCTATGAAGAGAGAAGCGACAGACACTGTGGTACAGCTATTTCTGGCCCTAGGCCCAACAGCCAGACCTCTTCCCCTCTGTGCTCTTCAGCTTGGAGATGCTGCTGTGCCTTGGTCTCCCTGGCTGCTCAACCCTTTCCTTGCCTCACTCAACTGATTGCTGAAACAGGGAAAAGAAGCAAAAGATGAACCAGTGTCTAAAGCCCTTGAGGGTTCCAGCAGGAGGAAGCTGCAGTCCCCAGCAAGGGGACTCACACCTGGACACGGCCCCTCCTTCCCGGTGCTTCATCCTCTCCCTCCTGCCCCGCAGCACCTGGGGTAGGGGTGCAGCCCTTCCTTCCCCAAGTCTACTCTGCAAGAGACCCAGAAAGGTCCCCTCTCGGGACTCCTCTTCCCAGGGCACTTTGCCCTGGGAAGACATTTTTGGCTCATCTAGTGGGAATTCGGTTTCATCAAGCCCTGGCTGACCTCAGGGACTGCAGGGAGTGCTTCAGATCGCGGGTGTTGGCTGCACCTCCATGCGCTGGCGACCCAGGACTCCAGCTCCTCAGGGCCTGTCTAGGAGCATGGCCTGGCAACACCTGCTCCCTGTGTCCGAGAAACCACAACTTCGGTGAGCCCAGGGCCTAGGGCCCAGGGTGGAAACGCCTCAGACCCCACCACCGCCTGGTCACGGTATCACGGGGCTCAGAGCAAAGCCTGGGCATGCAGGAAAGGCGGAAGGAATGGCACGGAGCCTGCCTCTTCCAGCCTGCAGCTCTGCCCTCCAGGCTGCAAGAGCACGGGGTCTTCCCTTGGGCTTCTAGGGGCCGTGATCTGGGGGAGACCACTGGGCAGATCTAAAGAGTGAGGCTGAGAGGGGGAAAGGAGTAGGCTTTGCATGTGCCCTGAGGGGACACAAGGCATCCCCACAGACTCATCCTGCCTAGAGTTCGCTCAGAAATCAGGTGGCAGTGGGATTTCCACAGAGAGAGAAACCCAGATACCTCTCCCTGGGCCTCTCAGGCCTCTTCCTTCTCCCCGGTGTGCAAACTCGGGTGGGCTAGGAGGCGCGGAATAAGAGCAGCCCTCTTGGGAAGGGGCTGGGCACAGGTTTATGGGCATCCAGCCAACGCCCATGCTCTGCACGGGACAGGAGAGTGGAGCTGGGCCCCGTGGGGACCCGGCAGCCTTCCCCCACCACATCCCAAGTTCTCAAGGCCCAGCCGGGAGCTGCCCTCCACTCAACGCTGGGACAGGGACCCGGAGCCCCGCTGTGCTTGGAGTCCGGGGCAGAAGCTGGGGATGACTGGGGCCGGGTCCTGCCCTCCCCAAATTACAGAACTCCCAGGGCCTCTTCCCGGGCTACGTGGAGCAGGTAAATGACTCAGAGCCCAGGAATTGGCCGAACTGCAAGTGAACTTGGACAAGTGCTTTCCCTCCTTCATCAGCCCCACCGAATCCCTCCGCCCAAGAGGCGATGGCCCGGACCAACCCGAAGTCAAGGTCCCTGCCCAGGCCCGGTGGCTGCGGCATCCCGCGCTGCACCCAGCGCCAGGGACTTCCGCATTCGCTTCCCCAGCGGTGTGCGGGGAAACTGGAGGGGTCGAGCAAGTCCCAGACAGAGCTGACTTCCCGGGACGACCTGAGAAGCTGGGCTGAACCTTAGTCACTCCCGACACCCTCTGTCGTTCCTGCCCGGCGCCTCAGGGCGCAGCCGGAGGATCAGCCTCCCACCAACATTTCTCCCCAGAGGCCGCGGGAGAGAAGAGGACGGTGCTCGGGCATGGGAGGGAAAGGGATGGAGGAACAGGGCGCGACAGGAACAAGGAGGCACTGCGTCCTCCTGCCTGGGCGCAGGACTCGAGCCCATTCGCTCCAAACCGCCTGGACCATGTTCACCCGTGCCTCACTGCACCCCGCACCTAGGGACCCCAGCTCCGGCGCGCAACTGAATACGCAGCAATCGGGCCCTCCTGTGCGCCTCGCACACCTGCACAAGGCGCCCCGCACTCCCACTCACCTGGCACCCCGCGCGCACAGTCGAGGGAGGCGGGAGCCCAGCTCCAACGCCCAGGGCCCCGCCCGCGCGCTCCGCCCCAGCCGGGCCCCGGCCCCGGCCCCTGCCCGG